ACCCCTACAACGCCCACCGATTACGCATTGCATGTGCGAGAAGAGCAGGTTAGCGTGCCGTCTTTCTTTAACGTCGTAGTTTTCATTGGCACCGAAAAAGCTGAAAACTTCGAAGGCGTTGTCGAGTGCAATCTGCACCTTCTTCTGAACCATCACATTTGCGTCGAAAAAAGCATAGCTGAGCTACGTGACGGCAAAGCCAAGGTAAAGTGGTGCTGACAAACTTCAGTCACGAGTATAGGCACGTCAACCATGGTACGGCATTCGCCCACATCAACGAATTCGTGGAGGCCAGAAAGTCATTCGCCTTCTTCGATGCTGCTGATGCTGCTTCGACGAATTGAGGTGTCTAACCAGAATTCGATGCCAACCCGAGCCTTTTGAAGTGCAAGCAAAACCAGCTGAAGTCCCTGCTCTTGAAATTCGAGGACTGCTTCTCGTCATCATCGCGATTCCGACATATCCCAGTCGCAAAACATCACATCAGAACAGAAGAAAGTACCCGACCAGTTCAACAAAGCCTTTACCAAGTCTCGACGTGCGAACGGAACGCCGCCAAGAAACACGTCGATGAAATGCTACGCGACGACGTTATTCAGCCGTCCGAGAATCCGTGGGCGTCACCTGTGGTATTAGTGAAGAAGAAAGACGGGACCCTGCGTTTTTTTGTCGATTACCGCCTTGAACAAAATACCAAAAAGGGCGTGTACCCTGCCTCACGTATAGGCGACGCCTTCGACCGACTGCACAGCGCGAAGTGCTTTTCTTCAATGGGCCTCAAAACGGGGTGTTGTGAAATTGAGGTTGACGAGAGTGATTGAAAGAACACGGCCTTTAGCACACCAGACAGCCTCTTCGAGTTTAAGGTCATGCCATTTGATTTTTTCTCGGTGCCTGCGACGTACCAGCGCGCCATGGACACCGTGCTGGCTGAATTTAAATGGCACACTTGCCTCGCGTACCTAGATGGCGTCGTCGTGTTTTCCTACAGCTTCGACGAGCATCTCCGATGTCTCGATGTCTTGATGCGGTGCTTCAAGCAATTAACACATTTGAAATAAATCTGAAGCAAGTGCCGCTTCGCTTACGAGGAGCTGTTGTTCCTGCGACACGTCATTAGCAAGTCTATAGTCCGTTCCGACCCGCGAAAAACAGCCATTGGTAATTTCCTGTAGCCCACTGACAAGAAGGCTATACGGCGATACCTAAGATTGTGTGCATATTGCAGAAGTTTTGAGAAACGTTTGTAACATATCGCCAAACCGCTAACTCACCTTAAAAAAGCAACGTCAAAATTCAGGTGGGAAGCGGCAAAAGATGACGCATTTCTATCCAAGGTCGTGGCCAACTATTCCACAAAAGAAAAAAAAAGTGCCTTGCCATCATTTAGGCAGCGTCAAAGCTTCGCCCCTTCCTCTAAAGCAGCCCCGCCGCGGTGGTCTAGTGACTAAGGTACTCGGCTGCTGACCCGCAGGTCGCGGGATCGAATGCCGGCTGCGGCGGCTGCATTTCTGATGGAGGCGGAAATGTTGTAGGCCCGTGTGCTCAGATTTGGGTGCACGTTAAAGAACCCCAGGTGGCCGAAATTTCCGGAGCCCTCCACCATGGCGTCTTTCATAATGACATGGTGATTCCGGGACGTTAAACCCCCATATATCAATCAGTCAATCTACCTCTATAGCAGGTCTTTCAAAATTGTGAGTGACCACCACGCCCTATGTTGGCTAACTATCTTAAAATACCATCAGGTCACCTTGTGCGATGGAGCCCCACACTTAAAGAATTCAACGTGACCGTCATTAACACGTCTGGAAGAACACACCCTGACGCCGACTGCTTGTCACGCACCCCCGCCGAAGCAACGCTGCCCGACTGCCTGGATCAAGACAGCTTCTTTGGAAAAATAACTGCCGACAATTTTACCGAGCATTAGCGAGCTGCCGCCGAACTCAGAAACATTGTGGAGTAGCTTGAGTGTAGCAGCACGACTGTTCCGAATGTTTTCAAGTGATGACAGAAGTCGTTCTTCTTGCGAAACTGAGTTCTCTTCAAGAACAACTTCTCACCCCTTCGAGCCGACTACTTTATTATGGTTTCTTCAGCAGTAAGACCAGAATTACTAGAGGCCCTACATGATGACCCGACGGCTGGACACCTTGGTGTTTCCCGTATGCTCGCAAGAATACAAGAAAAGTACTGCTCGCCACGACTTTCAGCCGACGTCACTCGTTACGTCAGAACCTGCCGCGACTGTCAACGACGAAAGACACCGCCGACTTACTGGGGCCGTTCTTACGGCATCAATTTACTGGGGCTGTTCCCAACACCAAATTCGGGGAACAAGTTGATCGTCGTAGCTACTGACTACCTTACATGCTATGCCGAAACAAAGACTCCACCAAGGGTAGTGCCTCCGTAGTAGCAAAGTTCTTCGTCGAGAACATTGTTCTGAGTCACTGAGCTCCACATGTCCTCATTATTTATAGAGGTATAGCCTTCGTGGCTGACCTAACCATGGCGATCCTGAGGTACCGCCACACCACCACCTACCATCCACAGATCAACGGCCTCACCGAACGTCTTCACAAGATCATTGTTGATGTGCTGGCTATGTACGTTGACGTCGAGCACAAGACGTGGGATGAAATCATTACGTACGTGACCTTTGCGTACAACACGGCCGCCCAAAAAACGATGCAGATGACGCCATACAATTGGGTCTAGGGAAGGAGCCCGGCAATGACGCTCGACGCTATGCCTCCAAACGTCGCTGACGAACAGAACCTCGACGTCACCACTTTCTTTCAGCGCGCAGAAGAAGCTCACCAACACGCCCGACTGCGCGTCAAGAATCAGCAGGCGGCCGACAGCTGCTGTTGAAATCTTCGACGAAGCTTCGTGGAGCATCAACCCGGGAACCGTGTCTGGGTATGGACGCCGATACGCCGACGTGGGCTCGGCGAAAAATTTCTGCGATGGTACTTTGGGCGGTACTGAGTAGTTCAACGTCTCGGCCCACTCGACTACAAGGTTATTCCCGATGACATCACGGATTCTAAACAGCGCCGTGCTCGCCCGGTAGTCGTCCAGGTCCTGCGCCTCAAGCCATTTAAAGCGCGCATCTGAGGACTGACTTTGGTTGTCGTTTCTGTACTTATTGTTTATTGTCTTTATTATTGTACCTTCATCTTTTGTTAAAGTATCGGGACGATGCCTTTTTCAGAGGGCGGGCAATGCCACGTTCCTTTCTTCAAGTGTTGTTACACTGCATTCAGCGCAAACTGCGCCTACAATGTTAAAGAAGCGTCGAGGCTTCAGTAGATCATTTTGTTAAGATTACACTCGAAACAATGATTATTCGGGAACTTACGTCGCCGCTAGCGATAACGCTTGAATATTCGATGGCAAGCGTGTAAATGCCGGCATGCTTCGCCATTGATCGCCGTTGATCGACGGCCGATGCTCCGTTCGCCGTTATCAGTGCAAGACGGCTACTGGAATCTGACTTTCCATTCACCTGGTACAGGTTCGCCCAAATAAACAGTTTGATCACAACATAGATTCTCCTGTCTTCAGCCACGCACGACCCCGTGCCAGCATAAAGTTTGCTTGTGCTGCCTGTCGTGTCTCAGTCTCTCAATTCATCATTATCAAGTGCTCTCTGAATTACATCCTGATACGTAGTCACGCATGACATCTAAGTAAACCCGCTGTATGGGCTTTGTTATTACAATAATGAAATAAGAATTCAGTTTGCAAGACCCAAGTCCTAAAGCAAACAGATGAAAAAAAAAGAAAGACAGACGATTCGGCAAACTGGCGTCACCATTGTAAATGCGTCAATATCTGTGTAGAAGCAGGTTGTTTCACGCGTTTTCTTATATAGTTCAGTTTCCAAGGCAACCATCAAAGATGCAGAAGAAATTATCATTGCCTTTGCTATAAGGGAAAACATGCAGCTCAAACCTCTGTTTTTATCACCTATTCTGAGGCTGCATGTGTATATTATCAAAATAGATAGAAAAATCGGCAACAAGGCACACTGTATACCTACCCAAAGTAGCAGAGAGATGAACATAAGCTCTACGCAGACAATCACTTGGACCCTGGGCTACAAGGGTGCTACTGGAAACCTGTATGCAGAGAAGATGGCTCGAGGTTTTACTTATTTTCGAGCTGCCGATGACAGCACTGTGGATGACCTGACTTCCATCTAAGTCTGTTACAAAGCAATCCTGAAATATTACAGAGATTTGAGGATACATTACCCTGCAGCACACAAGAGCCTTTCGGCCATAAATTCTGCCATGTTACGCCGGCTTCAAGCTAACACATAAACATCCGTACATGGCACACATACTACCCCACAGCATTAAGACATATGCCCATGGTGTTGAAGCACACCGAAGCTGTACCACATCACGCGGGAATGTACGGCAAACACCGAAGAGCAGGAAGAATATAACAGCAGAGAGGTGGGCGGCAATGCTGTCCAGTCCTGTCCTTGGGGACCAATTGAGATTAGTCAGGTGGGTTGAGAAGATCGCGAGAGCCAGCGTTACCTTGTATTAGGGGCCCGACCACCCGGCGTTGCCCTGTTTTGGCGGCAACGAAGTCGTTTCCACAATGAAGTTTTGTTCTTCACGACGTGAAGTTGATATGAATAAGCAGTGTCAAGTAGCCACTGAATTGTTGAAAACGTTCCATGACGCCTAATTAAATCTGAGACAGAGTGCACATTTAACGAACAGTTGCGGCATCAATGAAACCTTAAAAATAATGAGGCCAGCAGAAAGATGTTTTATAGTGTACGGAAAAAAGATTGATAGAATGCGAAATCAACACCATTAAAATTTAGCTATCCCCCATTTGATCGAGCATTTTTGTTAGAGTGTCACAAACTGTTTGAAGTTGCACATCTATATAAAGTAACTGTAAATTTCGAACAGTTGTCACTAATCCAGCCGCACCTCCATCTTCTTTTTGTTGGTGAAACCCAGGTACGCAAGACGAGTATCTCCTTCATGGGAATCAAATTTCATGCGGAAAGTGCAAGTTCGCTTAGGAACTCCACGCAACGCCTCTACAAGAAGTCTTAAGAAGAACGGCGAGCCATCCTTCATTGCGCCACTGAGAAGTGAAGTAGCGTAAAATTCTGACAGAAGCCACAAAAATCGTCACATAATGAGGAGCTATTATTTTTTTGTGTGTGTGTGGACGCTTAGCTGCAATAAATGACTGAGCAGTAGAAAACTAAACCATGACCAGCAGAGCTGTTGAACAAATTGTTCAGAAGTTCACAATTATAGCGAATAAAATCTAATTCCCCAAAAATAACTGTGATTCCCTTCATTTCAGCCTTAATCTACAAAAATGACCGCTATGCGCTGAGTTTGCTCATGGGCGAAACGGACTACTGTGTTCACTGTTTCTTTGTCCTGGAGATGTCACAAAAATAGGTGACAACTTATACCTAAATTTCGTCCTCAAACGTGATCTGGTGGGCTTATCAGATCTAAGTTTACGACTTTTTGAAGAGTGTATAGTAGTAAGCATGATTGTTGTGTTTGTGAAGCTGTTTTTTAGTCATTGAGGCTGACTGAATAGAACTGGTGATATACGTATGGTAGAGGTCAGGGGTGCCATTCCAGACAATGGTCAATTGCACCACGTTTTCGAATTGACTGTTTCGTTTGTTTCGATTGGTCGTCCCGTATGACCTTTCGCAACGGTTAAAAATGCTCACAAAAAAGAAATATTTGTTCACGACTTACGTTTTATTGTAGTGAAATGATCAATAAACTTTTCCGTTTTACACACAACACTTTTCAGGACGCAACTAGCTTACTTGATTGTTTTTTTCAACACTCGACATTACGCGATCACACTTATTATGGCAGTGTCAATGGTGAACATGGGCAAGACGCACCGATACTTTCGATACCATTTCGTTTTATGATTTATCAGAATATAGAGTGAAGCGTTTACACTTTCTTGGTGCCCTACTACTAGGTTTTAAGGCAAAAATAAACGAAAGCTGCTTGTACACGTCTCCCGATAAAACCGGATAATTTTTTATCGAACCGCACGTGGCCAATGCAATCAACGTACCTTCTTGTGTTGTTTTTTCTGGAAATAAATCTGTAAACATGCAGCAATACTGTTCTAATGCTGACAAACGCTGGTTTTTCATTTCTTTGGGCATGCGCTTTAACGTTGTCGCAATAAAACCTCTAGTCGCCCTCATCATGACTCTTGGTGGGTTCGCTTCTTCATTTTTAGTGGAACAGCGGGGAGTACAGGGTCGTTTGCCTCGTTTCTGCGATGCATACATTTTTGTTCAGTAACAAATGGAACGCTTAATTAAGTCATACATAGCTTCGCTGTGAAAATCCAACTTGTGCGAAGGTGTTAACATAAATGGTTCCAATGATCACGAGTAGAGCATACCCGCAGTTTCCGAAGCGGGAAAAGTTTATGAAGGTAAGCCAAACTTTTGTAAAGTAAATTAAAATAACAAGCAAACAGAAGTGATGAGCAAGTGTGTAAAAGAAATAGATGTGAATTAAGGTGAGCTGCTCGAACCGGTGGTTAACTATCGTGAAATAAATGTGATTCACACTTGGTGTAAGGTTAAGCGAAATTCTCAGGTTTTTACACTCACTTAGGACGACTCAAAGGCGTAATGAATCTTCTTTTCAGTCGATGTATCCATCCTGTGGCGCCATGCTTCGAAACATTTTTGTACCTAAGGCAGTTTTGCATGGCCTCTGTGACCTGTCTACCTTTGAACGTTTGAACGGAATGACGTCATCATTGGACGTTACGTTTATGACGACCTGCTGCTGACATCACAAATTTGAGTTATCTCTGACATGTCGCAATTTTTTCGCGTCACTCGTGCTGTCCGCAGCGATGCCGGACAAATGTTAGTAAACAGTTAAACATATATCTGAGAGCATACCCTTTCCCCAGTGCTCTTCTTGAAGAGCCCAGGGGGTTGTAATTTGTTTACTACCATGGAACCTCGGGAAAGAAGCTTTTCATGAGACAATAATACCTGCGGTTTTAAGTCCCAAAACCACGAATTTATTATGAGAGAAACCGTAGTGGGAGGCTCGTTAAAAATTTGACCAAATGGTGTTTTTCAACGTGCGCTGGCATCGCAGCGCACACGGGCTTCTACCATTTTGCTTCCACGGGAACGCGACCGCCGCGGCAGGAGAGAAACCCTAAACTTGGGACCGCAGCAGCCGAGCGCCATAGCCACTGTTACAACACGGCAATCAGCTCCCCGTGAGACACAAAGTCGTACCATGTGACCATTTACTATTGCCTTTGTTTATATAAGAAAAATGACATTCTTCTTTCTCACTTTGCATAATTATCAGCGGAACTAAAAACTTTACCCTTATGCCTTTCTCTACTAGTGAAGAAACACACTTTGCAAACACCTGTACACTGCTTGGGTATTCAGCCTGATCAGTTATTTGGGAAACCAGTTCTGCCTCAACAACATAAATGTACAACCCGAAGACGTATTGTTTAGAAGTACATTGCTGCTGCCGATAACTGTGAAGGTGCTGTGAATTTGTAAATTCTCGACCTTTGCACTCATTACGCAACCACGAGGGCCCAGTGGTTATAGGGCTCGGCAGCTGACCCAAAGGTCACCGGTCAGCTACCGACCATAGCCATCGAAGTTTCGATGGAGACAAAAATTCTAAAGGCCCATGTGTTCATATTTATATGCACGTTAGTGAACCACAGGTGGTCAAAATTTCCGGCACTGAAGGTTGAAAGGACAAGAGGTCAGTCAAGACAACACAAAAAATAAAAAAATATGGCGGCTCAATGTATCGAGTTTACGTACTTACTGTCGGGGTATATCAATTCAAGCGGGCGCAAGCTGAGAGTGATGCAAATACCTCATTACATTCGTTAAAAATTATTTGCCTTTCGCCGTTCTGTAGAACTAGAAATAATTTCTCCATACCTTTGTTATTCACCATTGCACGTTATTAGGCGAGCCATAAACCTAAATAATTGTGCATATGTCCAACTCTAGAATGAGGACCACTGTCTACAACTATATGTATTTACCAGAATTATAATTACTGCTTCAAAACACCAACAAAATAAAATACAGTCTTAAAGGCAGCGCCAGTCTTAACTTTATGATAGAAATTTTTGCGATTGCCTTCTATGCACTCTAAACACCCGCCCGTTATACACTTGACCTAACAATTATGTAGAAGTAGGTGATTAGTTCGCCAAACAGGAGAGCGCAACTCGTTAGTAGACAGGAAACTCGAAAGTAGGAGTGTTATCCTTCGGAATTAGCCAAACTTTCACATTGCGGACACTTGAAGCCAACAATGTTACAATTGTGCTAAACAGGAAGAAATGAAAAGAGAATAAACGCTTGAAAAGTAACGTCTCCCAGAAAATTAGGCCAGCCGAAGCTCGCATGGTCGGAGGTTTGAAGCTACGCTGTTTTTAAGACAATTATGAAGTTTAAAACAGTTAGAAAAAGGCCAGGCAAGCTACGCGTAATGTGATATTGAAAACTGGTAGGTGGTCAGCTCGTGATCTGCAGTGCTAAGAAAATGCAACAGAACCCCATACTCGAAGAGAGGGCGGCAGCCTAGCAGACAGCGACAAATTTTGGTTACAATGACTTTTGATTGATTGATATGTGGGGTTTAACGTCCCAAAACCACTATATGATTATGAGACGCCGTAGTGGAGTTCTCAGGAAGTTTCGACCACCTGGGGTTCTTTAACGTGCACCCAAATCTTAGCACACGAGCCTACAACATTTCCGCCTCCATCGGAAACGCAGCTGCCGCAACCAGAAATCGATCCCGCGACCTGCGGGTAAGCAGCCGAGTACCTTAGCCACTCGACCACCGTGGTGGGGTGGTTACAATGACGATGCCGAAGAATCCCCAATTGTATTACCTAAAACACGTCATGAATGATTAATTAAAATCAAAAAGGTATGGGGTGTGGCCTTCCTGGCGACCAACTGCCAGTAATGCACTCCATACCAGAATACAATTCATCATCCTGGTGAAATACTTGGCGAATACCTGCCCGATGAACGCAGCAATAATCCCATGGCCATCAGTCCCCAGGGGCTGCGAAGCCACTGCGCAAGGTGGCGGTCAGACGTGCGACACAGCTCAGAGCGTGCCAAGAATCTCTTGGTCAGGATCAGGCTACTATTGATATATGAACTTGGCTGCGTTTAACGCTAAAACGCTATCGTGCGAGGCTAGACTGGTTGGGCTATTTGAGACATTAGAAGGGTGTTAAATGAGATGTAATAGGTATCAGAGGAGTTAGGAGGACCAGCGCCTCCTCTATTTTTTTATTGCCCAGGCGAAGCTATGGGAAGCGGCCGTCGGTGCTAGTGCGGCGTTTCGCCACCAGGCGCCACAACTGCAGTAGAGAAGTCGCCGCGTCATCTCTTGCGCAAGCAAATACCGCGGCTGCATTCCAAGCTGCTATACAGCTGGGTTTTCGGCTGTAATCGCATTCTTTAAGGCGTAATGGTAACTTAGAAACAATGATTGGAAATCACTTGTTGTTTTTGGCACTCAGCTTATTTCAAAGGCTTGATTTGTTCGCAACTCCAGGCACTCGCACGTCGTTTGCTAGCTAGGACGATACCAGATAGCTAATGCAAGTAATCCATGGAAAATCATTTTGTCACCGTGGCGTTCCCTAGACTAAGAGTTGCTTTTTTGATTAAATGAAAGTCGAATTTTGAGAGAAGCTTTTGCCAGGAGCTAATGAAAAAAGCTTAGGTGCCTAATGTTCCCCGATGCTTGCTACTCTCTAGTGGCGTATAATAGAAAAAATTTTCTCAAAATGACGGTGAATATACCGGCAGCTCTATTTCAACACTTATGAACGTCAAAATGACGACAGGCCGTCATTCTGAAATGACTGCACAATTTCCTCATTTTGATGTGTTTCCCGTCATTTCAAAATACAAGCAAACCATCAAATTGACAACATTTACACCAAAATAACGACAGGCCGTCATTTTTAAATGACGGCGCATTTTTATCATTTTGATGTGTCTAGCGTAATTTCAAAATACAAGCAAACCGTGATGTTGATAACATGTGCGTCAAAATAACTAAAGGTCGTCATTTGGAAATGACGGTATTCTTTCATCATATTAAGGTTTTTTAGTGAACTTCATACACAACTGAACTGTCCGATTGACAACCTTTGAC